ACGATGCCCCTGTCTCCCACAATGCCCCAGTTTCCCACAATGTCCCAGTTTCCCACAATGCCCCAGTCTCCACGATGCCCCAGTATCCCATGATGCCCCAGTTTCCCACGATGCCCCAGTTTCCCAGAATGCCCCAGTCTCCGACAGTGCCCCTGTCTCCCACGATGCCCCAGTTTCCCACGATGCCCCAGTTTCCCATGATGCCCCAGCGCGCCCCACGGGCACCCATGACGGCCGGCTCCCGCAGCGCCGCCATCATCCCGTATCGCAGCGCCATGCTGGTGGTTTCCGTCCCCGCCAGGAACAGATCGAAGGCTGAGACCTGCAGGTTGGCGGCTGTGAACGGCGAGCCGGGGGCGGCCTGCGGGATTAATTAGCGCTGAGCTCATCAGTGCCAACGAGCCTGATATTAATTAGTGCTGAGCTAATGACCCTGATAGTAACACTAACATTGGCCTGCTATTAGTGCTGAGATCAAGCTGATATCGATCCTAATATTAACCTAATACAAAGCCTGACATCAAGCCCATATTAGCCCTAATATTAATCCTCTCCTAATCCCAATCTTAATCCTAATCATAATCCTAATGTTAATCTAATCCTGACCCTGATTCTGATCTTAATGCTAATCTTAATCCCAATCCTAATCCCTAATCCCAATCCCAACCCCAATCCCAGTCCTAATCCCAATATGAAACCCTAATCCCAATCCTAATCCCAATCCTAATCCTAATCCCTAATCCCAATCCTAATCCCAATCCCAATCCCAATCCTAATCCTAATCCTAATCCTAATCCTAATCCTAATCCCTAATCCTAATCCCAATCCTAATCCTAATCTCTAATCCTAACCCTAACCCTAATCCTAATCCTAATCCTAATCCCAATCCTAACCCTAATCCTAATCCCTAATCCTAATCCCAATCCTAATCCTAACCCTAATCCCTAATCCCAATCCTAATGTCCTAATCCCAATCCTAATCCCAATCCTAATCCTAATCCTAATCTCTAATCTCTAAACCCAATCCTAATCCCAATCCTAATCCCAATCCTAATCCCAATCTCAATCCGAATCCCAATCTTAATGTCCTAACCTAACCTTAACCCTAATCCCTAGTGCCAATCCTAACCCTAATCCCAACCCCAATCCCAATCCTAACCCTAATCCCCCCTCGTCCCCCCACCTCCTCCATCTTCCTCCGGAAGGCGCTGACGAAATCTCGCGGTGTTTCGCCGCTCTTCTCGCCCCCCCCCGCGATGACGCCATCCAGGAAGCGCCGCACGCGGGCGTTGTTGCGGAAGAAGCGCCGATGGGCGCCGGGCAGCGGATCCAGCAGCGCCGGGAGGGCGTTGTACAGCTGGGGGCGCAGCAGAGCTGACCGTGACCCCGTGACCTCTGACAACACGACCCAGTGACCCCGCGACACCCCAACCCCTGACCTCCATGATGCCCCGATCCCCTCTGACCTCATGACCCCACCCCCTGACCCGTGACCCCCCTCTGATTCGATGACCCCTGACCCCCTGACCCCATGACCTCTGACCTCCAGAACTCCGTGACCCCCTGCCACCCTCTGATCCCATGACCCCATCACCCCCCATCACCCCCCATCACCCCATGACCCCTGACCCCCCGAACCCTGACCCCATGACTCCATGACACCCCAACCCGACCCCCATGACCCCCTGCCCCCCAACCCCCTGCCC